GGAAGTTAGGACGTATATATATATACATATATATATTGTATACATAGGTATTCAATTTAAAGAGTTCATAAGCTTTATGATTTTCGTTGCAAGGATTTATGAATGATCTTTGCCATATTAAACGTTGCAAATTCCGCTTTAAATATTGTCAAAAACAACATTTTAACTTAACTAACTAATCTCATTGGAAGTATTAAAAAAAAAAAGGTTTTAAATATATTCTCAACAAATTTAGAGTACCAGTTTTATTATGTAAACAAAAATTTGTAGATTATAAATTGATTTGCCAATCAAATGGTAAAATAGCTTCAAAAGTTTTTAAGCTGAATAATTTCGGACTTTTAAGAATAACATTTTTATAAATTCTGCAGAAAAAATCAAAGCGAGGATTTAAAAATAAATTGTTATTAATATTTTAGTTTAAGTAATAAGTCAATGAACGAATGTTGAAAAAATGGTTTCATATTTCTAAAGTTATAAAAAAAAACAGATATTCTAAAATGGCTGATTCTGGAGTTAAGTCTGTTTAATTACTTATTAAACTGTATTTTTTCCTGGCAAATAAATATATTGCAAAAGTTACTCTAATTTCTGGTTTGAAATTCCAAACAGGCCTTCCAAATTCTAAGCGACAACTATATAAAGTCGCGAAAAATATAATCAAATAATCACCACAAGAATTGTTTTCAAAAATGTCTTTTTATAATTTTATGTTTAAAGAACTTATGAAACGTTTGTAGAAGTGGAAGAAGACTTTTAAAATAAGTTAGAAGGAAACAACAGATTTAAACTTTATTAAATTTTAAAAAAATTTGAATAAAAAAAATAATAACACTATTTTTTAAATTTGCAGCTATAATTATCAAAATTAGAAACAATTAAACTATTTCTATGAAGTGAATGTTATTTATTCTATTATTTTTTGCTAATTTTTGGAACTTTTGCTTTCAAATGAAAAAAGGCATATATATAAATATATAATAATAAATTAATATTTATTGAAAAGAATTATAGAAACTGGAATAACAGTAATTTATGGTGGAATACTAAGCAATATATTAAAAATCAACATTTGAAAAATATGCAAAGCAAATATTTTATTTTTTAATTCATTAAATAAAATTTTTGTTTTTCGCAGCAGAATAATTTGAATTTTTAAATTTTAGTAATTTTACTATTATATATTTTATATTAGACAATTAAGAATTCTCAGTGTATTTTTGTGGGAGCCTCTGCTGCAGTCTGTAAATATTGTGACTCAATGGCTGGCTGTTAGAGCAACCATCTGTGGCAAGTTGCCTGCGGTTGCATACTTGTACTTGACATATGGCGGCCTTTTGTCAATGCACCCCGCTGGCCCCTTCTGCAGCAGCCCCCTGCTCCAGTTGCCTGTTCTGCAGCAGCCCCCTGCTCCAGTTGCCTGTTCTGCAGCTGTCCCCTGCTCCAGCTGCCCATACTCCAGCTGCCCCTGCTCCAGCTTGAGTGCAGACATTTTGTTTGTGTTCTTCTAGGAATTGTGTCTGTTGTCTGTTGCCAGAGTTAGCCGCTTGTTGCAAGTTGTCGCTTGGACAGTGGCACAAATAAATCATTGAGATAAGTGGCAACGCCAAGTGTCTGTTTTAATACGTATCGTTTTTTGTTGTTTGTGTGTGTGTTTGTTTTTTTTTGTTGTTGTGCATTTATGGCAGCAGCACTTTTAATGGGCTTTGAAGGCAGTTAAAAGCTGGTCGCGCATTTAAATCGTTAGTTTAATGGCGACTCGGATGCATTTTCCACTGCAACTTTTGAATGCAAATTTTGAATGCTCGTCGCAATGCAAAATGCTCGCTCGATAAGCGATTACGCGATGCCTTCAAATGATAACCGACAATAAAAAAAAGCCCAGCTTCACACAAAACAAAAAAAAATAAAACTCTTAATTACAGCATAATGAATTACCACACACACACACAAACACACTTATAGCTATATGGCCGCATGCGTTAGACAGGGCCAGCAATACGCTGTGTCTGTGTGTGCGCTTGTATTGGTGGAGAACACGCCCCATTAATTTTGAGTGTAAAGTGAAGCAAGCGTGTTTCGGTCATGCGCTAGAAAGAGACACAGCATGCGCTTCCATAATTGGCAGTTGCACAGCACCGACTTTCCAGGCGCGCGCGCGCTCACAATGGAACGTTTGGCAATGGAACACCATCATACGCGCTCTGTCACTCTTGCACTCGCTCACAGACAGCGACGACGACGCTGCTTGTTGACGATCGCGTTGCCAGGACGACTGGAATGGCATAGACAACAACACAGCTCAGCGCGGCGCAGCAGAGCGCGGCGCGCTCCACGTGTGCCAATTGCCAAAGCGTTTCAACCAGGACTGGTTTTTTCCAATTTCGTTTTCAGTTCTTGTTGGATTCTCAAAGCGTCGATGTGGCCGCGCAGTCACCGAGCCAACGAGAGTCTCTACTCGCGCATAGCAAAAAAAAAAAAACAAAAACAAAAAACACAACAAAAAAAATATTTGTTTAATTCATTTTCGGCAATCGCGCAAAACGGTCAACGCCATCGGCGCTTCGCTGTTGCCATTTCTTGAGAGAGCGCGTGAGTGAGCCCAAATGAGAGTGTGAGAGCGAGAGAGATAGAGAGAGAGGGGGTGTGGGTTGAAGGGGAGTGGGTTGTGTGTGTTTCATGTTTCATTTCTCAAGCGTCGGCAACGCGTTGTTTCTTTCAAGCTTTGACTTTGGCCCGCTGCCGCGCGTTCTTCATACAATATTCATTCGTTTCTGCCGCTCGCGTGCAGTCGTTGCTAACTAACGGTGTTTGCCGTCGTCAACGCCAACGCCAACGCATTGGCGCCTCACACATACACACACACACACATACACACAACCACCCACAACACACAGATCAGTGCCAGTGTGCGAAAAGGTGCGTGGCCAACGCGTGTGAAAAGTGTGCAAAAATTACGAAAAAAAAGAAGAAATATTTACGAAAATATAAAAAACGTAAAGTACGCAAATAAAACAAATTCAAATGCCTCAATACGTGTTACGTTATTACAAATATACACATATATCGCGCAAGCCGGCTTGACATAGTTCTACACACACACGCACACACACTCGCACACACGCAAAGACAAGTGCAAGTGCAGAGCTGCCAATTAATTTGCCGGCGGCGGCGGCGTCAACGGTCATTCACTTCTTTCATCTCCACCAGCAACACACACACAACACACACACACACAACACATGCACGGCAAATGTCACTTTGACAACCGAGCAGTTTGGCAAAGCGCCGCTGCTGACGTCGCTGACGCCTCTGCCGGTGGCGACGCCTCCGCATTGGAGCTCGAAATGATTTGCGTGCCGTTCTTGCGTTTAGCCTGCTGATTTGTTGCATGCGTCGTTGGCGTCGTCATCGACCGTCAACAACGCCAACTACGCCAACAACAACAACACAAATCAAATGCGTGCAAGTGAAAAAAGCAAAAGTGTTACAATAAAAATCAAAACAAAAAACCAAAAACAAATACAAATACAAATCGAACTGCAAAATGAGTGTTTGAATTGTTTGAGGCGTATTCGTCACTCGCTTTAAAGTTGTTGTTGAACACTGGAAACGCTTGTGCGTCGTGTTACTTGATAAACTATAATAGAATTGTTAGAGCAATATTTGTGATATTCCCCATCAGTTGGTTCTATGTACTGCCTATAAATACTTTTGCCTTATGCCAATATATTTTGGCAAATTATCAATATATTTTCAAAAGATATTTAATAAAATTAGGATGTTTTTGCCATTTCTGCCAGTCCTAGCTATAATTTACTAGAAAAGCAATTAGTTGAATTAATCAAGATAGAAAATATATATTTTGTGCTCTATTAAACACCTTTCATCAAACTAAAGGAGTTGGAGAAAATATGCTACTTATAATGTTTATTTAGCACTATATGAATTCTTATTGTATATATTTTTATGTATGCTAAGAAACAATACTTTGATTGATTTGCTAATAAAATCTTGCATGCTTTAAAGTTTGACAGCTACACATGAAAATCAGTTCAAATAAAGAGAAATCTTGTCAAAGATTTTTTAATAGCATATTTACCTGATAAATCTAAAATTCAATAGTTTCAATAGTTTAATTCGAATCTTACTCTATTCCTTAAAGAAATTGAAATTCAGTGATTAATTTTTAAATTACGTTATTTAAATCTGTCTCTTGAACATTTAATGTTTATTTCATAAAATGTAATTGAAAACATTTAAAAATATAAATTGATACTAAATGTTAAGTTAACATTTTAGATCCACTTCATATACACTAATTTCTGATAAACTTGTAGAGATTTTTTACTGAAGTAGCTAATCTACTATTACTTGATTATAATTCCTTTGAAAATGTTGATCATTTGTGAATATATATTTTACATGCAATACATAATAATAATCTGCTATTAAAATGGGGCCAAATGAATAAGTGTAGAACGCGAAAGTGACTAGAAATATTTATTTATGGTGCACTTGCTTAAGTTTATAATAATTCCTAATTCAATTCAGAATATCAAAAATATTTATATGAGTTCGTTTCATAAATATACTAAGCGAGAACCTATATTCTAAAATATAAATAATATTCAAAAAGATTGAAATTAATTTTAATTTTTACACTTTCTACGCAGCTTACAAATCATAACTAATTAAAAAAAAATAGTGCAATAACTTAAAACAAAAGAAGATAAACAAAATGTGAGGCGTGATGATAAAACAAAGAGAAAAGCAAAAACGTGGCACAAACAAAACCGAAACAGACGCCACAGCTGCCACTGAGATCCTGCAAGCAGCCGCAGGACTCGAGCTAATAAAAAACCAATTATAAAGAAGAAAAAATACAACAAAAAAGAGAAACACAAAAAAAAAAAACGTACTTGCAACAAGAGTTGCAGAGAGTGAGAGAGCGAGAGTGAGAGAGAGAGAGAGGGAGTGAGTGAGAGAGAGAGAGATAGCGAGTGTGTGTGTGTAAAAAGTAAATCATTCACAACGGCGACCATAACGAACTCCGCCCTTGCAATGAGCCAACTGGGCACCGTCTACGCCACCAAGCGAAGGCGACGCAATGGCAAAAGGTGAGTGACGACATGCACCCCCCTACCCCCTACCCCCTACCCCATGCCCCTCACCCACCACACACACCCTGCCCCATGCTGGCCCCCCTGCTGTGTGTGTGCGTCTATGATTACTTCAAGATTTCAATCAATGAAAACGTTTGGCTGCAGAGTCAACTGCCTTTTCTCATGTTGTTGGTGATGTTGTTCTTGTTGTTGTTGTTGCCATTGTAGTCCGTTGTTGGCCATCAATCTGCGGCTTGTTGGGTTGCAGCTACTACTGATAAATGATGCCACAAGAACAGTCAGCAACTGTGCCACTGGTTTTCCTTTCCCATTTCTTTTTTTTTTTTTGTGTGTGCCCCTGTGGGTATTATAATATTGTCACGGATTGTATTGGATAAGTTAAGTTAAGTCTCAAATCAAAAAGCTATATATTCACAATTGAGTTGGAGAGATTTGTCTGTAGTCTTAGATATGATAATATACCCACGGATATATGGTGAAAAAAACCCATAAAACTGCAAAAATGATGGAAAAACAATTATTAGCAGCGGAAAACAATGATTATCACATTTTTCCAATGGCAACATCCGTTAGAAAGCGGAGTTTCTTTTAGAAAAACATTTTTGTTGTTATTTGTTTATTTTTTTTGCAAATGATGATAATTATGATTTTACAAATATCTTGCTTATTTTATAAATTAATTACGTAGAGATCAGAAATGTCGCTTTAATATGATATAAGATATATACTTATCTGCTGGGCTATGTAATCGTCCGCTTTCCGTAGTCTCTCCAATGAATTATTAATAAATATCTAGTGTCTCACGCTGCGTATACGCAATGCAGCTAATAAACTTTAGCCTCAGCTTGAGCATTCAATATGGAAATTATGAATATTATGCATGTCGGCAGAGTTTCTATACAAATTACAGTAGTTGTTTCTTGTCCCCCTCCCATCCCCCCCTCTCATTCAACGCTCGTAATGTAGCCCTTTTTGCTGTTTCTTGCTTAATATATATTGTTGTTGTTGTTGGACTCTTTGCCCTATTGGCGAGTGTTGCTGGTGCTATCGCTGGGCGCAGATCAAGTGACGCCGCTGCTGTTTGCTGGCTGCCCAAAACTGCATATAATTTCTGATAATTTTGTGTACTTAACTTGCCGCAAAATACTTGTAAAAACAACAGCAGCAACAACAGCAACGGCAACAACAACAACAACACACGCAACGACGTAAATTTGCAAAAAAAAATTAATATTAAAATAAAAGAGGAGAAAAAATTGCTGCAGTAGCTGGAACTAAGACACGCCCCCAACTGCGCACTGTAATTGCGCCCCAACTGATCAGCAGCGGGAGAGCAAAAGCAACAACATCCACAACAACAGCCACAACAACAGCAACAACTACTGCAACAGCGGCCCAGTCCAAAGATAGCGACAAAGTTATTAATTTTTTTTTTCCTGCCTGCCTTCTTTTCCTTTTTTTTATCGTATACCCTAGCAAAATGGTATTTTAAAATGTGAAACGCATTCAGGCATTTCGTTGGATATAATCTACATTTGATTAGAAAATGTGGAACATATCCGAGTCTAAGAATATTTCACATAACTGCTGTTTTGCTAAAGAAAAAATTAATACATTTAAAAAGTTTGCATTAAAAATAGATTATATATATTAATAAATTGCTTAGATCGGTTCAAAATGTGGATAAAAATAATTATGTAATTCTTAAAAAATACATATTTTCTACTTGCACACTTAAATTTGCCTTTGAAAATGTTTGTTAACATAAATCGAAGTCGAGAGTCAACATTATATAATTTCTCTTCGCTTTATTTTTGAATGTGAAACACATTCAATGATTTCATAGAATATAATCTTAATAATTACTTTCATAGTTGCGAACATATGTGGTATATATCCGGTCCAAGTTTATTTCCAATAGCTGCTAAATTTACGATTTGTGAAAAATCGTTTTGTTATTTAACAAATTGAATACCGCGAGCAACCATTGAATAAATTATTTCCACAATCTTCTTTTAATAATAGGCTCAAATTAAATTAGAAACAAATTCTATATGATAAAGACATTGTTTAAATAGGTCTAAAATAATTTAATTTACAAATATTTTTGTATCTATATAAAGGTTATACATATTTGTCATTTACAGTAACTCGAAAAAAAATCGAGAGTCTATATTATAAACGATTGGAATAAATTAATTTCTTAGTAATTTTTGCAGATAACTCCTATAAATTGTACATTGTTTTTCACCATTTTTCACTTTGGGTTTGCTGTTCAGTATGGTTAATAGAGTATTAGATTTCATATTTGCAAAGGGTATGCAATCTTCGTCCATAAAAGGCAAACTTTTTTTCTTGTTCAATTTTTTTTTATAATTTTATTATTGCTGCGCAGCCATCGACAGGCAGCTCGCATAATTTGCCAGGGGGTCGTGGCTTAAAAAACAATTACTTCTCGCCAAAATGCTGCACACCGCGCTGCTACCAACCTCCTCCCCTGCTCGTGGTGTGTTGTTACCCTGTTCTGTAGTTGTTGTTGTTATTGTTGTTGTAGTTGTTGGCGCATTGCTCGCTCGACTGACGCAAAATTGTCACCTTGCCATGCACACCTGCAATTAAGTGTCAGCTTGGTCTGGGCCAAGTGCTTGCCTCTGTCCCTGCCACTGCCGCAGTGCCTGCCCCTGCCCCTGCCCCTACCCCTTTCGTACTGCTGTTGTTTTTATTTTTTTAATGAAACGATCAAAATGTGTCTGCCTAAACAACTTGTGTGCTATTTTAATTGAGCTCTCCTTGCAGCCGCTGGCAGCTGTTTGCTAGCCCGGCAAGGAAGTAATTCAGAGTACTTTACGAATATTTCACATACGCCGCATGGGTTGCACTTATCAAAGACAGCGGCAGTGCTGCACAATGCCTATATCTGTATATACAGTGTTGTACAATTTTTGGGCGTTTACGTGCACATCGCATTTTTATTGTAAGCTATCATTTTTCTATTATTGCTAGAGTAAAACAACTAATTACAACAAATGTAATTGCTATGGTTAACTTAAATATACATTTGCGTACTATATAATATCACGGATCCTTAGTATTTCAAAAGCTATTGGCTTATCAATCAATTTATTTTTATTATAGTATACATTTTTAATCACTCAATAACAAACACAAAATGGATTTAAATATAATGTTGACTGGTCAGTAAATTGATATTCATTACAAAATTCTCGAAGTAAATTAAAAATTGTTATTCATTTTAAATATAATGTTGACTGGTCAATAAATTGATATTCATTACAAAATTGTCTAAGTAAATTAAAAACTGTTATTCATTTCAGACAAATAGCTTACAAGAAGCGCATCTTTGAAAATATTTAAAGAAACTTAGGCCAATAAGTCGTAAAGTGTCTAAAATATGTCTGTTGCTTGAAAATAAATCGAAAAGTGATATTTATACAAATTTAATCAGTTTTAAATTATTTTTCACAAATAAATAATGACATTCATGATCATTTTCAACAGCACAATTTTTTAATAGATTTCTGACCTTTTTATATTTTTTACCTTTTCCTTTTTGTCCGAGTCTTTAAACAGATGGAAAGCTTAAGAATGAATTTTTAATAAATTAAGAAAAGTCTATTTATATTTTTTTTTTAAGCAGAATTCTTGGCCAAGCAAGAAAGTCTAAGAATATATTTGGAACAAAACCACAAAAAGTTCATTAACTTTTTTTCGCAGAGCTTTTGCAAAGAAAGAAAGAATAGTTTTAATAAAATCACCAAAAAATGTAAAAAAAATATAAAAAGAGTCATTGCAAAAACTCTTAAAAGCTTAGATTTTTAGTAAAATTACATAAAAAGTCAACTTATTTTTATATTTTTAGCAGATTTCTTGAAAAGAAAGAGAAATTAATCATGTTGAACTTTTGAACAAAAGTAATAAACTTTTTATTTCAGCAGAGTTTTTGTGAAAAAATTATAAAGCTTCAAATTTTTTTCTATTTCAAATGGAATCACAAGAAATGTGCAATTACTTTTTTTTTAATCTTTATTATATTGTATATAATTTGTAGATAATTATTGCCGCTACTGTTTGGTGGCTGTTGAGATTGTTTTACATTATCTGTTAATTGTTGTTCTTTTGTCTGCTACTGCTACTGTTATGAGGTGCGTATGCATTAAAGATTAGCTCCAAAAAAGGAAGGAAGGAAGGAAGGAAGGAATCAAATGCATGCCTCAAGCGGCAAAGACTCAACCACTCAACGGCTGCCATTTAATTGTTGGCCATGCACCGCTGAGCCGCCGAGGCAGCATTCAAGTGCCCTTTTCGCCAGCATTTACCACAAGTAGTTAAAGTTTGCAACAAAATTGCAACTAAAACTACATTTGTAACTCAAACTCCCAACTCCAACTCCAGCTCCATTTTTAGTTGCAGCTCCAAGTTGTGGTGCAAGTTTTGCTCCCACTTTTGTTCAATGGCCAGAGCGGCATTGACTGCTTGGTTCCACTTGTTGGTTGTTATGGATATATGAGTCCTGCTTTTGCTTTATTGATTATCAGCTTGTTGTTTGTTGCAGTTGCTGTTGTTGTTGCTATTGTTGTTCTTGTTCTCTGTGCCTGTTATTGATTGCAGCAAGTGGTGCAGGCCGCTGACTCCCCCCCTCCCACATTCCCCCTCGTTCAGTCCTTGTTGCTATTAGAAATTGTAATTAGCCAAGTTATTCCAATGGTTGTTGTTTTTGTTTTTGTAGCGTGGCAGCTTGTCTTTAAAGTTCAAGCGTTCATATTTTATGCAACTTGATTGAGTTGAACAGAAACTTAGCCAGTAAAAACTTTTAACTAACTGTACAACTATGACAACGATTATGATAAATGATTTATTGAGTGTATGTGTTTTTTTTTTTTCATTTTTCGAAAATTGTTTCCCACATGCTTGGCATATTTCCCTTTGAAACCGCAATTGCCGGCTCGTGACATATGTTTTCACATTCTTATTTT